CCAGCACCTCACATGTGCTAGGCAAATGCTCTACCACTGAGGCACATCCAGTCCCTAAGTGTCCATATTTCTTAAGCCACATTTGAGGAAGTCATATCTTAGGTTTGGATGTTGTTTCTCCTCATCTTATACATAAAACTTCAACAGATTTAATATTGGCATCCATCATCTGTCAAATTCTTTACATTCGGGCTGGGGATGTGGCTCAAGCGGTAGCGCGCTTGCCTGGCATGCGTGTGGCCCGGGTTCGATCCTCAGCACCACATACAAACTAAGATATTGTGTCCGCCAAATAATTAAATAAAAAAATTCTTTACATTCTTCAAACCAATCAAATTTTATAATTCTCAACATTTTTCTATGTCAATAAAATAAGGTTTGGAGTTACTGTATTTGATGTCCTTGTCAGACTGGACTTGTAGTTGCCATCTGGATTGGAATTAAAGGATGGGGAAGCAGAGATGGTTCTTGGCCTAAGTCTCTTTAACAGTAAAGAGGTAGAACAGAGCGCGAGGACTGTGAAGACACTGATGGTAGACAGCACGGCACTGATACCTCTTGGTGGTGAAATTAGGGCAGCAAAGGTATACTGAGAGGAGTTATTTGAAATCGTCACAACAGCTGTTTTAATTTGAATAAATCTGCATGGGTAGGAGCAATGCCAGATGCAGCAGCCTCAGCCCAGCATGGCCACCATTGCTCTGCTCCTTCAGTGCTCAGCTTTTCTCCCTAGATGCCAGGTATGTGGAGATCTGCTGCTCTGGGATAGCACAGGCAAAATGGGGTGCATCCTTTCAGTTACATTTAATGTGTCTGAGTATGTTGAGATTCAGTTCTACTATATTATTATCTCTATGGTCTCCTTTCTCATTATCCAGTTTCCTCTTTATTACTGTTCTTTTGGGTTAACTATTTTTTATGAGATTTTGAAAAATTTTTAAAACTTTATTTATTTATATGTGGTGCTGAGGATTAAACCCAGTGCCTCACATGCTAGGCAAGTGCTCTACCACTGACCTACAACTCCAGCTCTGGGTTAACTATTTCTTAAGTACTGTTTTCATTTACCTTTTAAAAAACCAATTTCATTGTATCCTTCTCAGTGATTAAAATATACATATATAAAATATATGTATAAATGTAAAATATTTATCTTCTCAGTCTTTTTTTTTAGAGAGAGAGAGAGAGAGAGAGAGAGAGAGAGAGAGAATTTTTTAATATTTATTTTTTAGTTTTCGGCAGACACATCTTTGTTTGTATGTGGTGCTGAGGATGGAACCCGGGCCGCATGCATGCCAGGCGAGCCTGCTACCGCTTGAGCCACATCCCCAGCCCTCTTCTCAGTCTTCATGAAATATTTTACCATTGAACTGGAAAGTAGAACCTAACAATCACAGAAGTCACATCAGCCTTAAACCTTTCTTTTGTAAATGTCTTGTTTATAATTTGAAATCCCCATGTTTTTATTTTCAACAACACAGATTCTCAGCACTACCAAAAAAAAAGAAAAAAAAAGGAAAAAATGCAAATTTAAGTAAGCATTCTATAGTTGTGGTTTCAATATGAATTTCATTTCAAAGGCCTTTTCCATGCTATTTATTCTCTCTATTACAAGCTGGCCTACATTGAGGGTGGAGGATGATCATCTCAGTCTTTTTTGTAAAGGTCTATGCTATGTCTCATAGCCACCATAGAGTTGTCAGATGTTGGGGACATGTAAATGGAGGGGGGGAAAATGGCATTTAGCTCTTTTCTCTCACTGTGAATCCACCTCCCTCACTGGCCTTTTGATGGTTGGTTTGAATATGAAATACTTGCCTCCATGTATGTTGTTTGCCAGAAATAGAGGAGCTATGATAATCTCATGTCCATAGGGAGAAAAATGACCAAAATGGTATGCATTTGGTATATAAATTTGAAATTAGAATTACAAAATGTGGAAGACAAGGTAATGGAACATATTTAAGGTCTTAAATTTCTGAAAAACATAAAGGAATGGAGACACTTGGGTAGAACAAAATGAAGAAATCTATAAGACACCATCAGAAAGGGGAAAACACATAAGATGTAAACTCCTATAATCTTTTTTTCCCCTCCTGCAATGTTGTAATAAAAAAATTACAAAGGTTGAGGATATAGTTTAGTGACATAGACAATACCAGCCTAGTATATATAGCTTTCACGCAGTGCAAAATTTACCTAAGAAAGGTAACATCTTGCTGTGAGATATGTACACAGGTATTAAAATCTATGAAGAAAGGCCAAGAAATGATTGATTTAAGTTTGTGGATTCATAAAGATGACTGAGTACAGAAAGAGGCTCCAGTGACTATGTTTTTTACTCCTAGTACTAACAAAAAGGGCACAGCAGAGGCCGCACAGGCCTACAAGGGGAAGAGAGAGAGTTGGTCAGGAGACAGATAAGCAAGAAGAAAGCATCTGCCTCAGCATTTATTGGAATTTCCACCACAAAGGCAAAGCAGGGCATGAAAAGGTTTAGGATTAAGTTTGAATAATTCTCATGGGTAAAGGCATAGGAAATATTACTATTTGTCTTGAGCCTTTCCCTGTGTTGATTTTTGGAAGGGGAAACACTGACTTTATATATTAGTTAGACAAAGCAAGTAGCTGAGAATTTGGCCTTTTGATGGTTGGTTTGAATATGAAATACATGCCTCCATGTATGTTGTTTACTATCTTGAGGAATAACTTAGCACACTGGGAGGTGCAGTCTCTGCCCAGACCCCCAGAATTTCAGTACATCCCAATATACAGGAAATACAATACATGAGTAACACAATTGATCCTCAGATGGTCTGATGTTACACTAAACAACTCTGGGACAACGTCAAGAGATTTTTCACTGATAAGGAGAAAAATGCCAGGCATGGTAGTAATTCTGGAGGCTGGGACAGGATTTGTAAGTTTGAGGCCAGCCTCAGCAATCTAGCAAGACTGTCTCAAAATAAAAATAAAAAAAGATTGGTGATGTAGCTCAGTGAGATCACCCCTGGTTCAATCAGAAGGGAGGGAAGGGGTTTAAAAAAAAAAAAGGACAAAGAAAGGAAAGAAAGAAAAGGTGAAATATTGCAGTACTTGTAATAAGTATGTACAGTACTTGTGGGCCTGGCCACAACAAAGTTCTCAGATAACTATGGCATTATTCAAGAAAATAGACCTGAAATGTTGCAAGATCAATAATTTTTCTGCAGATTGTAAAACGTATAATAGTATGAATTTGACAGTGATCAAGATGGAAGGCCTGGAATTATACTGTTGTGAGGGTATGAATTTAAACATTAGCAAATTCTAAGTAGAGTCAGATCAACATGGAAAACATGATCAGCAGAATTAACTGGGAAGATAGTGGACTCCCCTTTGGTGTCACTGCATTAATTGACAGCAGCTGCCTCCTGGGAAACCAGAAAAAGTTTTGTCAACTTTCAGAAATGTAGATAGTAACCTCTCTAAGAGGTAGCAGTAACTTCTATCAGATTTTCCTAAAGGTATGGGGTATAGAGCTGTATGTTTTGGCTGACATTATACCAGGATCACAGGCTAAGCTGACAGCAAGCTCGGGCACACAATCAAACCCCAAATATCAAAGTAAGAAAAAGCAAATGTTTTGTGTGCAATTTGTACCTGAGGAGCACTAGCGCACAGATATTGCTACAAAGAAGGTTCTGGTGAATTTGAACTCATCTTTAGTGCACAGGAGGAAGTCCTCTCCAGTGGCAAGGTCACCAGCAGTGAGTTTCTCAGGCAGGGCAATGTCTGGGCTGTGAACACTATACTGTCATTTATTAATGATACTGTCACTTGGAGACAAGGGGAAGGACGAGGCCAAACTGCACTAGTGACTTCACCCATCACCTACATGTGCTCATCAGCAGGCAACTGTGAACAAGTTCCAGAGGGACCTATAGGTCTCATTTCAGACAGTAAGGATGGCATCTAAGGCAAATTCATGAGCCATAACCATCCACACAAGGCAGCCCAGATTGATGTGATCACCTTTATTGTCACTGCCAACAGGTAATGGCAATAATAGTTGGGCTTAACAGTAATAATCACACCCACAAGAGAACCATTTCATTACCACTCCTCACAAGAAACACATGGAACATGAAAGTGCACAGGTCTCTTCTGTTCAGGATTTATTGTTTAGCATGATTTGGAATACCTCTGCACTGGCTGGATTAAAAGCCAAAGAAAGGGCTGCAGCCCTGATGGCAGCCATCAAGGGGCTGAGTTCTGACGGCAACACATGATAGAACCCAAAGTTGCTCAAACTTTAAATTTGGATCACTCAGGCTGAAACCTGATTGTGCTGGTCTGAGAGGCTGTACCCAAGGGCCAATTCAGAACCATGATGGTTTCGAGCACAGTAGAACATGACACCAGTTATGTTCAGTTTTTCTGTTTCCATGTGCATCAAAGGACAAATCCAGAAGCAGTTTGTACTGCCAGTCCAAGCTGTTGCTAACTCAGGCATTCATAAGTGCTTTGCAGGCTGTGTAATGGATGCACAGATTAAAGACAACACTGAGGCCTCTCCCTCACTCCCTGCAATGCCAGTGTTACAGGAACTTCCATTCTCAAGGGGTTCAAGGGGTCTCTCTCTCTCTCTGCACGGTCATGAAATTGAGGTCTCTCACACTAGTAATTATTTATCACTCGTCCTTTCTCTATTCACTTTTCTTGCACTCTCACCTTTTATCTGAAAGGATCAGGTATAAGAGAACAAGGGCATTTAACAACATTAAATGTGTTAAAGTGAAAAAGGCTTTCTCACAGTACTTGCACTCCCAGGATTTAGCATGTTTAAGAGCATGACAAGCCAGGTATGGTCATGCGTGCCTGTCCCAGCAGCTCAGGAAGCTGAGGCAGGAAAATCACAAGTCAAAGCCAAACTCAGCAATTTAGCAAGGTCCTAAGCAATTCAGTGAGACCCTGTTAAACACCTGAGTTCAATCCCTGGTACAAAAACAAACAAACAACAACAACAAAAAAAAACATGAGAAACCTAGGAAAGATTCTCTACTGCTAAAATAGTATTGTTTGTATCCCAAAGGCCCACTTTTCACCTGGTGGCTATCCAGAAGTTGTAGCAACTGAAATGACTGAAATGAAATAGTGTTGCTATGGAGGAAAGGAAAGACATATCACTCCAGAATGATCAAGGTAGAATCACAAATGTTCGAAATAAACCAGAACCATTCAGACAGTGGTGTCTGTTGGTACACTAGATTTCAAGTTAAGGGGACACAATTCCCAAACCCCTATATTAAATTTCTCTTGGATCTGAATCATGTTTGCTAAAGGTTGACTTTCCAACAGTCCTTTCCTTCATAAAGTTTTCTCCACTATGATGACACAAGTGAAGACCAACATATTTACAGAACTACAACCTTCCCATATATTTTACATCAGGAGTTCTTCCTTCTATTGCAAAGTCTCACATTTAGTAACTTTCTGGGAATTAGTGAAATATTTTATATTTCCTTCCTTACAATGTGAAGAATCTTAAGGGATTTTTTTGTATTCCTCCCATTGAAAGGGTTTCTTTTCAGTGTGAGTTATTAAATGTTCAGTTAGTAGGTAAAACTTACTGTAGGCTTTCCCACATTCCTGACACTTAAAGGGTTTCTCTGTTGTGTGAATTTTCACATGATGAATTAGGTTTGAGGATGAACTGAAGGATTTCCCACATTCCTTACATTCATAAGGCCTTTCCCCAGTGTGAGTTCTTACATGCTCAGTTCGGCTTGAAGAAGTGGTGAAGGCTTTCCCACAGTACTTACACTTATAGGGTTTTACTCCTGTGTGAATACGAATGTGCTTAGTAAGATAAGAGAAATACTGAAAGGATTTTCCACATACATTACATTCAAATGGCTTTTCCACCATGTGAGTTTTTAAATGGTCAAGTAATAGATTGCATCTATTGTAGGCTTTCCCACATTCCTTACATTCATAGGGTTTCTTTCCAGTGTGAATGATTAGATGTTTACGTAGGTATGAGGAATTGAGGAAGGCTTTCCCACATTCCTTACATATATAGGGTCTCTCTCCACTGTGAGTTCTTACATGTCTACGTAGGTATGAGGAAGCATGAAAGACTTTACCACATTCACCACATATAAAGGGTATCTCTCCACTATGAGTTTTTCTTACATGATTATGTAGGTATGAAGAATTAAGGAAGGCTTTTCCACACTCTTTACAAATATAGGGTCTCTCACCACTGTGAGTTCTTACATGTCTACGTAGGTATGAGGAAGAATGGAAGGCTTTTCCACATTCCCTACATATATAGGGTTTCTCCCCACTGTGAGTTCTTCTTATGTGGTTACGTAGATATGAGGAAGTGAGAAAGGCTCTTCCACATTCCTTACATATATAGGGTCTCTCGCCACTGTGAGTTCTTACATGTTGAGTAAGGCGTGAGGATGAAGCGAAGGCTTTCCCACATTCGTTACATTCATAGGGCTTCTCTGAAGCATGTGTTGGTTCATGTGTGGTAAGGCCTGAGCGCTTAGTGAAGGCTTTTCCACATTCCTTACATTTATAGGGTTTTTCTCCAGTATGAATTCTGAAATGTTCCATTAGCCGTGAGTAAGTAGTGAAGGGCTTCCTACATTCCTTACATTTAAAGGGTTTCTCCCCAGTATGGGTTCGCATGTGCCTATTAAGGTTTGAAGAACGTCTGAAGACTTTTCCACAAACCTTACATGCATTGTTTTTCATTGTGCGCATTTGAACAGGCACGGCAGGACTTGTAGAGTGAGTAAAATGCCCTGCATTCCTTGTATTTTGAGTTTTCATGTGAGTCTTGAAATATGAGTGTTCACTGAAGATTTCTCCACACTGCATATAGTCACAAAGTTCCCCTGCACTGTGGTGTCCTGCCTGTTGATGAAGGGATGAATGATGGTTAAAAGACTTTTCAGACTTATTAATTCTTACCTATCTGCAGACAGAAACAGTATTATTATGATTATTATCCTTACCACTTTGATTACATGCAAACATTCCCTGCTCTGTAAACTTCAAGCTGAATGAAGGAACCCAATTTCAAGGATCCTGTGACATCCAGTCTACTCTTGGAAATGACTACTCTATATTTTTATGAAGTTCCTTTAGGAACCTCAGTGCCCAGTTACATGTGTAGGAATGTGTATTAGTGGAACTCTGAAGCCTCATGTTTTGAGCTAAATTTAGGATAAAATCCTAAATTCATCATATTCAGAGTATCTCCCTACTGGGTAAATGCTACTCAAAAATCTCTCATTTATGTTGATTTTCTATAAAGAAATTCCCAATCTTTTGATATTAATCTCCCTTGTTAATATTAGAATTCACCGATTCTATTGCCTTTTCCCTGTAAAACAATGAACAATGATAATATATTTATTTAGAGGATGATTATGATTTTTAACATCTTCATGACATTCTTATAGTTCCTGGCATGATTTCTTTTAAATTGAATTATGGAACAATAGTGCCAGAACCTTCTGCCATCTGCTCTAATCTTAAAACAACTGTTTAGATATTTACAAAATTGAGGCCAGGTGAGGTGGTATGTGCCTGTAATCCCAGTGGCTGAGGAGCCTGAGGCAGGGGGATTGTAAATTCAAAGCCAGCCACAGCTACAGCAAGGCACTAAGCAACTCAGTGAGACCCTTTCTCTACATAAAATACAAGAGGACTAGGGATGTGGCTCAGACGTTGAGTGCCCCTGAGTTCAATCCCTGGTACCCCCTCTACCAAAAAAAAAAAAAAAAAAAGATATTTACAAAATTGAGCCAGCAGAGTGGCATTCACCTAGAATCATAGATACTCAGGGGCTAAGGCAGGAGGATTGTTAAGTTCAAGGGCAACCTGGGCAACTTAGCAAGACCCTGTCTTGACACTTAAAAAAAAGGCTGGGAATGTAGCTCAGGGTAGTGTTGGCCTAGCTTGCACAGGACCAGGATTCACTCTTTAGCACCATTCCCCCCTCCCCCAAAAATATTCACAATACTGCCTTAAAAGTCAATCTCTAGTTACACATGTGGGACTATGTACTTATGGGATCTCTGAAGGAATAGGTTTTATGACAGACAGGTTTGGGACATGTTAAAAATTCAAATTCATCACCTTCAGAATATACTCCTTCCTAGGTGAATGCTACTTATTTTCTATAAGGGAATTGGCAATGTTCTCTGAGTGGAAAACAACAAATATCCATGTTAATCTTACTGTTTGTATCCCACTGGAAGTCTGTCCCCTCAAAAAATCCTGCTGAAGTGTTGCCTCTTTGGTGTTAAGTAGTATTTTCCATTCTGAAGATAAACAGAAAAATAAAATTAAAGTTTGGAGCAGAAATGGTAGACTTAGGAGTTAAAAATAATAGGGCTCATTTATATTTGTTATCAATTTAAAACTGGTTAAAAAGAAAGAAAAGTCTGGAGCTGGGGTTGTGGTTCAGTGGTAGAGTGCCTGCCCAGTATGTGTGAGGCACTGGGTTTGATCCTCAGCACCACAAAAACATAAATAAATAAGGGTTAAGGTTTAAAAAAAAAAGAAAAGAAAAGTTTGACCATTTTGAACTAGGTTAAAACTTTGGTGACAGCTAAAGATGTGAATCACAGTTTTAGACATTTATTAAAAATTAATTCTTTGAAAAATAAAACTGATGGTTAACAACAAAAAATATTATTAGGCATAAAAAGGAGCAAAAATCTGGACATAAACCATATAACAAAATAATAAAAAAAGGTCATTTTTGTGAGATCACAGGAAAGTCTGAATAGACAGAAAGTGAGCATATGAGAAGTTCTTTACTTTCTTACCTTCTCAGAGAAATGACCTGAAATGTCTGATATCAAGTGCATATTAAAAAGTCCCCCTTAACACTCCCAAAAACACTATGTGTCCTTGATGGAGACCGTTATTCACAAACACTCACCTTGGAGATCTCCACTCTGCACTGTCCACAGATCCTCTTCTTGTTCCAACCAGTAGATGAGACTAGGTTTAATGGGCTCACATCCTGTATACAGGGAAAGATACATTCATGAAAGAGTTTCAGATAAAAGATCATAAAACATTATGATTTAGGAACTATATTTCTAACAGATGTAGGGAATCATAAAAGGGCTAAGCATGCAAATATCATCTCTTTCTATGCCCTCAAAAGATCTTTGAACCCTGAAACCCAAACACTAACACCTTGATTCAAATAGAAAATATAGTGAAACAAAAATTACCCCAGTGATTTTCACATGACACTGCATCAGATTCATGTGGGTGGCTTGTTAAAACTCACATGACAGGTATCTACCTGGAGTTTCTGATTCAATAGGTCAAAAGAAGAAACTGGTAATTTACATTTCACTTTTGTGGGGGTAGTCCTGGTGATTGAATCTCAGTACCTTGTGCATGTTAGGCAAGTGCTCTACCACTGAGCTGGAAATAAAAAATAATTTTTATTTCCCATGGGGTGATGGCAACAATATTCTTCTTGGACTCACATTTTGATAACCACCAATATGTATTAAAATGTACAGTAGTCCCCCCTATAGTTTTACTTTTATGGTTTCTTACAATCCATCCTATCTAAACATATTAAATATAAATTTCCAGAAAAATATTCACTAGTTTTAAATTGCACACCATTTTGAGTAGCTTGATAAAATCTCATGCTATCCTACTCTGTCCTATAGGGGATATGAATCATTCCTTTATCCATCATATCCACACTCTATATGCTTCCTGCCCATTAAGTCATTTAGTAGCTGTCTCACTTATGGTTGATTATCACAGTATAACATTGCTTGTGTTCAAGTAATCCTTATTTTACTTAAAAACAGACCCAAAGAGAACAGTAGTGATGCTGCCAATTTGAAAATGCCAAAGAGAAAACATAAAGTGCTATATTTAAGTGAAAGTTGAAAGTTCTTGATTTAAAAAGGAAAAAAATATATATGCTTAGGCTGCTAATATCTACAATAAGAAAAAAATCTTCAATCTGTGAAACTATACAGAAGAAAAAAGAAATTCATGTTGCTTTTGTTGTTGCACCTCAAAACTTGATTGAAACTGTTCAGTTCGACGAACATTTCCAGACATCCATTGGGGGCGTCTTAGAATATACACCTTAGAATAAAGGTGGACCACTATACTAGGGAAGAGACTATGCCCCTGTTATTTCCCAACATAGTCAGAGTTGACATCACTGATGCTGCAGCACAGCAAGTACAGAACACCCATCTTCCCTAAGCTACAAGGAATGATGGCAGTCTTACCTACTGAGGCCAGGTTCCGGTAGTTCTCTAGCATCACATCTCTGTACAGGTCTCTGTGCATTTGATCCAATAGAATCCATTCCTCTTGGGTGAAGTCCACAGCCACATCCTCAAAGGTCACCAAGTTCTTAAAAAAAAAAAAAAAAAAAAGTCACCAGGTCCTAAAACATTACACACATGCATGCAAGCAAACCTGAGTAACAAGTAAAATAGCAACATTTCCACCAATGTTCACTAGAGAAAGAGGAATTGAGACCAGTGCCTACACAGGGATGTGAGGCTTCCATTGTCTACCAAGGCTTTCGTGGTCCTAGGAACTTTTTTCTCTATCTACACTCAATTTAAGGTTGATATCCCTCAGTCATGTGGCTTTAATGGCTCTTCTGGCACCTGAACTGATCTCACCACAACCAGAATACAAGTCCTTTTCTTATTTTGTACTATTAAAGTACATTCCTGGAGGCTGGGAATGTAGTTCAGCAGCAGAGCACTTGACTAGCATGTTTGAGGCCTTGGTGTCCATATCAGTACCACACTTGAGCCTGTAATCCCTGCTTCTTGGGAGGCTGGGGCAGGAGGATTGCACTTTCAAGGCCAGCCTCAGCAACATAAGTGTGAAGATTAATTCATAATTACTGAAATAATGGGATGATTTTTAGGCAACACTTCACCAACACCAGAGGCTCCACTCTAGAAATTCAGCTGGAGACTGAGTCCTTGAGTTTGTCTCTACTTGATTTAAGAAACTTTGAAGACATATCTGTCTAAAAATATGCCTACCTGTAAAGACAAGCTGGTCATTTTGTGAGACATGGTGTCTGCATACCTGATAACAATTTGTCAGACAGTCTGCCACCATCCTTTCTGTCTTAATCTTTTCTTGAAGAAGGCAGACTGGGCCCCTAGACAGAAGAAAGCCTAAAAAGAGAGAGAGAGAGAGAGAGAGAGCATGAGAACCCAGAGCTGACCACAATTCTTACTCATATGTCAGTAAATTAGTCCACTCTAGCATGAAACCCCATATAATCCAACACACTCTACATACAGACACACAATTGCCATACAATGTCAGAGTAGTCCTTTCCACCTAGAGCCAATAGAAGGGACGATAAACTATGCTGCCCACCAGGAAAAGACAACAGTCTCATTTTACTAGGACGACATTTCAGGCCAGGGGAGATGTGACACTTTATTTCCCTATGGTGATAAATGACATGAGGGAGATTATGCAGCACCTCTTTTCAAAAGACACATGCTAGGGAGCTGACTTCACAACCGCATTCTCTAGCCCCCAGGGTTCCCCCTAAATGAACTAAACAAGATAGAGTGACTGCTCCAGCATTGACTCTACAGTATACAGGGGGGGACCTAAATCAGATAGCCCCTAGGCTATATCAAATCCCCATTCTTTCTAATAACATAGTCCCCAGAGAACTTGACATTGCAAATGAAAGTTTGTAGGTGTTCAGTGGTCTGGATCTTGTAAAGACATCCCTCAAAGATTCCACTCCAAAAGATTGCACCTCATACAAACTACCAGCCAAAATAAAGGGGTGTAATACTCTATAGACCTTTTGAATTCTGGATGCAACATTTCAAAACTTGAATGAATTTTAACATATCTTAAGGCTTTCAGTTTCAAATAGAGACAAGAGCAAGTTAAAGGTACAGTACAAGCCTCTCAAGCACCTGGTCCACATTATCAGGCAGACCCAATAATCCTCAAAGTGTCCATGGGTAAACAGTGTGAACTATTGGAAGCCTCTAGCAAGCACCAACAGGAGAATCACACAACAGACCTTTGGTACTTGTAAGCAACTCTGTGCGCTCTCTCTCTCTCTCTCTTTTTCCCAATGCCGAGGATATAACAAAGCCCAAAGAATGCTAGGCAAGCATTCTACCAGAGTTACAGCCCTCACAATTATCCCTTTTTTGAAGATAACTATTCTGTTTTTAAGAGACATGTTGTCAGTACCTGGAAGAATAACCATGGACATTAAGTGATTAAAATAGAACTGAGGGAGCTGGGGTTGCAGCTCAGTGGTAGAGTGCTTGCCCAGCACAGGAGGCACTGGGTTCAATCCTCATCAAAACAAACTTTAGATGACATTATTATTATTTTATTTTTTGGTACTGGGGATTGAACTCAGGGGCATTCAACCACTGAGCCACATGCCCAGCCTATTTTGTATTTCATTTAGAGACAGGGTCTCACTGAGTTGCTCAGTGACTCGCCGTTGCGGAGCTCTCGGCTTTGGACTCACTATCCTCCTGCCTTCGCCAACCGAGCCGCTGGGTTACCGCGTGGGCCACTGCGCCTGCCTAGATGTCATTATCTTTTGTTTTTTTTGAGAGAGAGAGAGAGAGAGAATTTTAATATTTATTTTTTAGTTTTTGGCGGACACAACATCTTTGTTGGTATGTGGTGCTGAGGATGGAACCCGGGCCGCGCGCGCATGCCAGGCGAGCGCGCTACCGCTTGAGCCACATCCCCAGCCCGACATTATCCTTTTTAACTTTGTTACTTGAAACAGTATTGTGGTTTTAGTAAGGCGATGCCCTTATCTTTAGAAGATGCATTCCCGAGTATTTAAAGGAAAAGTTTCATGTTCTCAATTTATATTCAACGATAATTTATATTCAAATGATAATTTACCAAAAAATGTTCTTAATTTCCTGAAAAGTGGGCAAACATGCACAATGCTCAAAATTGGTACATCTGCCACTACATTTATTACATATGTTAATTCGTATTTTTTGAAAGAAAAATGTGAGGGAAAAAACATGCATGCATACAGGAGGTGGGGTAGAGGGTTTACCTTCAAAGCCCGGTGTTCAATTCCTACCACCACAGAATAACCTGAACAACAACACCACATGCTGTAATGAATTCAATTATTCTAGCACCACTAATAAACCTTCCATCTCTTTTTCCTGGCGGCCCCCGTTTTGAAGCTCTGTGGGGACGTACAAGCTTTGGAACTTCGGAAGAGAAACCTATGGCTATGCAGATACAGGTTTTTCCAGTAAGAAAACCTGTATCTGCATAGAAGTAGTCACACCCTAGACACCTAAAAATCTACATTATCTTTCTATCCGAATGTCATGTATAAACTAAATACCGTCAAAGACAATGCCAAACTCTCAGATAAAACATTCTTTTAAGAAAGTAGAGGCTCTTGTGAACCAACTTGTACCCAATACTGACCTGAACTCGCCAGAATGCCAATCCGTCAGGAGAGTGGGCACTGAGTCTGGAGCCAACGTTACTAAATCGCGGAAATTCTCTTCCCTCTGGGAAACAATTTCGGAAAGACTGCTTTGCAGGCTTTGGAAAAGAGGAGCGCCGCGGAAGAAAGCACCCGGAGGGCGCGCCCCGGCGACACTTCCTGACCCAGCGCCACCGGCGCCTCTCAGACCCGAGAGCCGGGAAGGATGCGCGGCCCTAGGCACGCCAGCGAAGCCGGCCTAGTCCCTTTACGGGGGTCCGCTGCCACCCCGCTGCCACCACTGGGAGACCCCGCACGCAGAATCCACCCAAGGCGGGGAGAGGTGCACCATGAGGAAGGCACTTGACACTACACTGCGGAGCCGGCGCCCGCTGACGTCACTTCCGCTTTCAGGCTTCGGCCTTCAAGGGGGTTCCTCAGGCATCAGCCACGTCGAGCCACGTCGGCCGGCCAGGCGCGGACATTCTAACTTCCTCTCCGGGGAGGATGAGGCTGACACACGGCTCGGTTCGTTGCAGGAGGCAGAACCGGGCGCGGCGGCCGAGGGCGAAGTGAGAGCCAGGCCTGGGGGTGGGGCTGGGGGCGGGGCCAGGCCCGTGCCGACTCCGCCCACCGCCGCAGGGGAGCCCGTTGATTCTTCACATTGATGCGTGGCAGGGCTTTTCCGTTCTTTGTGGGTCTTTATGGTTCCTTAATTCATTAACTTATCTGAATACCATGCTAGACTCTAATAGTTTATTCCTTTGTGTTTTCAGTGTAATCATATTTTCTGCAAACTTATTTTTTTCTTGTTATTTTTGGATTTTGCCAGAGGGCCTGGGACCTCCCCCCCCACCGCCCCCATGCGACAATTCAAAATAACCACTAATATTACGGAGTATTCTCCAAGAGTTATTCAGAAGTGTGACGTAACCCCAACAAGAATGCCAACATTTTTTAAAAGCCATTAGGCATATTGATACTTAAGTTAATATCAAAGAACAAATATCTGATGATGAACAAGGAAACACTGAAAAACAAAATGGATGATAACCTACAGATATTAAAAAGTATTAAAAAGCGAGGTGATAAGCAACTCAGTGAGACCCTGTCTCTAAATAAAATAAAAAATAGGGTGGGGATGTGGCTCAGGGGTCCAGTGCCCCTGAGTTCAATCCCGGGTATCCTCCCCAAATATTACAAAGCCTCTGTAATTAACAGTGCATGGTACTTACATATGAACAGGAAGCGGATAAATAGAATGTCTCCAAGTAAATTCAATAACATGGAAATTTGATCCAAGTATATTCTAGATCAATGGAACAGAAATGCACTTTGGAATGAAAGGTGCTAAAACAACTGGAAAACCATCTGGAAAAAGATGAAATTAAACCTGTTCCTTTTACAATATACAACAATAAACTCCAAATGAATCTAGAATCTAAATGTATAAAATAAAAACATACACATATGTAGGGTATTCCAGTTATTTTTTTTTTTTTTTTTTTTTTTTTTTTTTTTTTTGCTATTAAGGGGGAAAAAATGTAACCAGGAGGTGGCAGTAGTAAGGAAAAAGATGTAACCAGGAGGTGGCAGTAGTACACAAGCTTTATTTGGGTAGTGCTTTGGCAGGCACGAAGTTGACCCTCTGTGCCCAATGCTGTTTCATGACTGATAAAATTAGACAAGCCTATAAAGTAAAACATAACCATTTTCCTTTGTTGTCTATTAGGTATACTTTTGGGTTGTATGAAACACAATGTTTAAATTTAGTGGGAGGAAAATATATACATGGCTATTCATATATTTTCTTTTTTTGAGGGGGACACTGAGGATTGAACTCAGGGACACTTGACCACTGAGCAACACCCCCAGTCCTATTTTTTTAGTATTTATTTTTTAGTTGGAGTTGAACACAATACTTTTATTTATTTATTTTTATGTGGTGCTGAGGATTGAACCCGCAGGGCCTCGCACATGCTAGGTGAGTGCTCTATCACTGAGCCACAACCCCAGCCCTCTCCAGCCCTATTTTGTATTTTATTTAGAGACAGGGTCTCAATGAGTTGCTTATCACCTTGCTTTTTACTGTGGTTGGCTTTGAACTCTATCCTCCTATCTTAGGCCCCAGGGCCTCCGGGATTAAAGGTGGGCACCTCCATGCCTGGCTCCTATATTTTCTTGTGTTAAAATATTTTTCCATATGTATATATAATCTATTTAATTACCTTGCATCTTTGCTCCCTATACCTAGGGGTTTTAAAGTCAGTAAGTAATCATACCATTATATTTGCTTTACCTGGCATTAGCTAACTAAGTTTGAAATTCCTTTTTTGTTTTCACTGAGCTCCTGGCCACTTAAAGTGGCAGTCTTCCTTCCACCCCTTACTTTTATTTGTTGTAGTCTTCAAGGGCTAGAGCCTAGGTCTTTAGTTTCTCTAGCTGATAAGAGTAAAAGAAGAGAGAGACAGGGATCAGGTGTCTCTTGACAATTGCATCCTGAAATGGCCCCTGTCTACAGGACTACAGAATAATTAGCACCCAACATATCCTCTTATATTTTTAAATTATTTTATTTGCAACCCAGGGCCGAGCTCCTGCTAGGCACGTGCTCTTTTACTTAACTACATCCCCAACCTATCCCCTCCTTTTAACTTTAAGGGCCTAAGAAATCTTCCTGATGATGGTACCCAAAGATTCAGTGTCTATTGAGGGCCTGCCTGTGGGAGGCAGACATAGCATGTGACCAGTGTTTGCCTCCCTTTTTGATCAGTGTGGCACTGTCTGTCACCCTGTGATCTGGTTGCTTAAGTAACCAAAGATAGTAGCCCCGATCTTTAGGGTTGAGAAAATGCAAATGTGTCTTTGTGCATGGGCGAGTCCTCCTACATCCCCAGGGATCGAGCTACCCTCACCTGTTCCTTTGTGATATTAACCCTTGCCCTGTTTGGGAATAGAATGTTCCATGGAAATTTGTGTGTCCCCTTCTCTTGCTTTGCCTTTGAGTGTGGCCTTCCTAGATGTCAGGCATCCTGCTGCCAGCAGACATCATGAAGCTAGACTCAATCCTCTGAAACCTGACCCCTTGCCTCATTTGAATGGCTTCTCCTCAATAAAAGGGATCAGGATGCACTCACTCTTTCTCTTTCTGCGGACCCTTAATGTCAGAAGAGCTGTCTCAGCACCCCCAAAGAAAAAGGTATTTCTCTCTCTTGTGTGGTTATTTCAGGCAGCCCAGTTCCCCTGGAGTGACCCCTGAGTGTTTTAGTTGCATGCAACACATCCCTGGGTGGCAGGTTTGAGTGTTTAAGTCACCAGGAATGTGACACCTGCCCTTTGCTTCCAAGATGGTGCCTATTGCCATATCTTCAAATGGCAGATGGGCAAAAAAGAACAAATATTGTGTCTTCACAATGCAGAAAAGTTGGAAGGGGTGAGAAGGACAAATGTTTTGTCCTCATAAGGCAGAGGAAATGGAAGGTCCAGATGGCTCCCTGTAGTCTCTTTTATAGTTTATTAATAACACTGTGGGGGTGGAACCCTTATGACTTAATCACGTCCCCCAAAGACCCTCATCTCTAGATACCATCACAATGTGAATGAAGAGCAAATGGTGAAGGTGGGAAACTTGTCCCTTTGTTTCTGCATTCCTCTGCTTGAAACCCCTGTTAAATTCTCATGGAAGGTGTTAGGTATTGAAAAAGACAAACCCCAGAATAATGTGGCCTGGGGAGAAGGAGTGAAGGAGTCACTGTCTTTCCCAGTGATAAGACAGGCCCTGGGGAGGAAATTTCCATCCAGTTTGAAATGACAGTTTCTGAGAAGAAGCCAAAGCATTGATCCCACCCTAAACTGACCCCCACCCACCATCTGGCCCAGTAAAGATAAATCCCGGGTACTGACCACTGACCCCACATCCACTAACCACACACCTTCCATCTGGCCTAGTAAGGATAGCCCAAACTGACATGCTCATTAATTGATTCACCTCTCAGTGTAACCATATAAGCCTAACACCCACCCTGCTTTGGCCAATGGCTCATTTTCCACCAGGAAAATGGGTCAGTCAGAGGCATCATTCCATTCCTGAATAAAAGCTGTGCTGGGCTGGTTTGTAAAGTTTGCATCTAGCCCAGTCCTCTTGCACTAACAGAAGGAAATAACATTTCCCTCAAGATGCACCACAACTGCCTGCAGCTGCCACTAGTCATAACCAGTGCAAAACCCAGAGGCACAAATGTATAACATCAAGCAAAAGAAAAAAGCTCACATAATCAATTAATTCCCATTGTGGTAATATATGTCATAAGAAAAACAAGAAACATGTATGAGAAGGGATTCTAAGGGTGTTAGACCAAGAATTGTGGAATATAACACTAGACAGGGCCAACTATTGAAATAGGAAGACAACAGGATTTCATATATAAGCTCATGGACCTGGGTGCTGCCTTTAACAGTTAAATTGTTTGGATGACTTGAACTTAAACTCAGTGGTGACTTACAGTGAGTGGGGGTGATATGTCAAAGAGATTCCATGGCATAATATGAAGGAAAGTATCCTAGAGGTATAGGAATGTTGTACTGAATTTTTTTCTTTTTGGTGGTACTGGGAATTGAACTCAGGTGTGCTTTTTCACTGAGTTGCATCACCAGCCATTTAAATTTTTTTTTAAAAGTTTGAGACAGGGTCTTGTTAAATTGCTGAGGCTGGTCTTGAACTTGAGATTCTCCTGCCTTGGTTTCCCTAGTTACTGGGATTACAGTCATGCACCACAACTAGGTTTCCCTAGTTACTGGGATTACAGACATTGTCCAGCTCCTAAATTTATTATGTGATCAGTGCTGCCCTCCTTAATTAGCCTGTATGGAGAACTCAGAAGGCACTGTCTTCATAAAGGTATTCAGAAACAGATCAGTGATGGGAGAACTTCTATCCTTGAAAAGCTCTGTGTTTACACTCCTTTATATACCAGATATGACTGAGATATTTTCCCCAATTTCAGTGCTGCCGATGAGAACCCATATTAGCAGAAATCAAGTGAATAGCCCTTAACTATCAAAGACCATAAGGCCACATCAGATGTCTTGGGCAGGTGGAACATACTAGTAATAAAAATACTTTGGCTTACAGAGCTCAATGGTGGTGGCAAGATTATCAGTGTCCCAAGGATTATCATCAATAAGAGGACACATTGACAATATTTAGAGAAATAGTAAACACAGGTTTAGGGTCACATGTAAAATTAGGGCTAAAGTCAGTCAGTTGAGTATTCTTCCTTAGGATAAAAATGAAGAGAAGGGGTGTGGATGGTGTGGTGGTAGAGCAGAGCACTTGCCTGGCCTGTATGAGGCCTTGGGTTTGATCCCCAGCATTGAAAAACAAAAGTGAAG